GAGGGAATATTGTATATCAACTTTAATCGAAGCAAGCTAATGAGTCTATACTTTCCTTTATATCTAACACGTAATTTCATAAATTTTTGTATGATTTCTCTATATGCACCATTAATTTTATTAAATTTAAAAAAAAAATTGAAATTTTTTAATTTTTCGAATTTCTATAAACAGAAGCGATGAAATATGTATATAAGAATAAAAGATTATATCCATTATAAATAAAAAAAGGTTATAATGGAAGTGGCTGTTGGTTTCGGGATCGGGGGAAATTTTGTTCGTCGACGGATGTGGCGGGAAAGTTCAATTTTCGTCACGTACAGTCGAGAACGTTGACCCAGAGTTATACTTTTTCCTTGTACTCGATGCACGTGATTCAGACGCGGCTAGTGCATCGTAGGTCGAGTGCACACGACTTAGGTAATCCCTTCATAACGGTAAAGCATCCGTGTTACCTCGGTTTGTTGTACAGCTGTGTGAGTGTGAAACTGGTTCCCTTCGATCTTTCTTGCCTAGACTGCAAGCGATCCAGGGGTTCGAGATTAGGCGATGGTGGCCACCGGACGTAAAATGCAATCGAACGTTGCAGTGAACAATTATAATTTATTTATTCGTCACCGTTTTGCACAAATAACAAAATATTATTTAAAATTGTTTTAGACGAAACCACCGTCGAGTTTCGTATGCATCGAAGAGCAGAATATTTGATTTTATATTTTCCCGCCTAAAGTTTAAAATATTACAGAAGGCCAGGAGAAAATTTTGAGAAAATTTCATTCGCGAATAACGAATAAAAATTTTAATTCGAATTGTCGAATAAGACGGTATTGGGTAGCTATGAAATAACTATTGCGGTATCGCAAGTATCGGTATATCGAAAGTATGCGGTTTATTAAAAATTTAGAATGTAATGCTTTTACCGCGCCGTTGATAATCGTACCAATGACGTAAGTTGAAAGTGTCGATGACTGGGTCAGTGTCGAAATTATGTGCACTTACACGATCTGACGTAACTTTCACACGATCCGTTTCATTCAGACAACTATTGCGTCACAAGAATCCAATATGGGGGTTGAAACATTGTTACAAAGTTTTCTCGCTGTAATACAATTTTATTTAATCGCGTATCACGACCATTTACGTAACGAATCAATTCGAAATTTTGTCCTATTAAATTCGTTGAAAATAAGTAGGAAATAATTATAATTTTTTATTTCTGGTTAAATTTCAAATGGAAAACTTGTAATACTTTGTAAAAATATAATGTTTTTCTAAAATGTGTACGCAATACGCCTCGATGGGATTATTAATGGCGGTTGGTATTGTCCGGAAGCGGCGCGAATTCGTGCATAAAAACACGGCTTCCTGCTTTCTCTGTGCGTGTTCGATAAAGGAAGAAAAACCTCTGCGTGGATATTTCGCATAATGCGGTCGTCAATTTCGTCGGCTGGCGTGATGCAAAACGATCGATAAAAAGCGACACTTTCGTGTAGAAAAACCATTTATTCGAGCGGAACCGTGATAACGTCAGACCGGTCGTGGCCACAATCACTTTCTCGTAACTGAATTTCGATTCCTTCTTTCGACGCTATTCTACAAGCAAATCGCCACCGTTCTCAGCGTTCGAGTTCGATGGTGCTTTGACCCTAAAAAGAAGGGGGCTCGGATTACATTCGTAAATTACAATCTATTTTTAAATCAGAGAAAAGGCAGACGCCAGTTTTGGCACGAAGATAACATTGTTTGTGTAAGCGACCGTTGGGACGATCGGTGCAGCTGTGCGACGAATGTTTAGGTTAGGTTTAAGGGATAAGAGGTGTCGGGTTCGGAAATAAGAGAAATCTTCTCGAGAAGCGAGCGTTCTGCTGAAAGCAATCGAATAAAAACCGTTAGGAAAAAAACAGCTAACCGTCCTCAGTTTTTCACCCTTCTGTCTGCCATACTTATAAAGTCGCAAGATGGCGCATGGCCTCCACAAACGTTCCCAATATTTTAATTTCGTAGTTTACGACTACGTGCGTCAAGAAGCAAATATCAAAAACGATAAAAGTCATGTTTTGATTAATTACCCGAGATATGTATCCAACATGTAAAAACAAGATTTGATTAATGACTACTAACACGGGGAAAAAATATGTTATTTTGAACTACTGGCTACATAGTTGCATATTTAGCATATTTTTTACGCATGCAGGATGTGGAAACAGAGCTATGACGGGCAAAGGGATTGAAAAAGAAGATGTTTTTGCAGAGATTGTTGCATAAATAAAAGCAGATTATACGGTGATTATAGTTCGTGCGTAGGTCATGTGAAACGTTTCAACGTCATTTCAACGAAATAAATAAACGTTCGATGAAAAAAGGAATTGTTTTAAATATTCAATACCGTCTAAAGGTCACATTGTCACATCTTGCATAAACATTCGCAACTGATAAATAAATAATCTTCAGAACGTCTACCTATTGTGTAATTCTTCGTTCTAGAATCGTTGAGATCTTTTTTGTCATAAAATTCTTTGACACATTTAAATTCTGGCCACGTTCGGAACAGCGACTAATTTTAGACACCTACGATTCGATTATTGTCATTGTCAAACTTTTAATCGTTTCTCTCAATGCCACGGAGGGTGTGTACACGTCTCTAGAGGACGAATGGATTAATATACGAAGAATATTCAATTACTATGCATGTATGAAAAACTAGGCGTATCGTTTTAAAAAGACACGCGCGACTGTTGATTAAAAATGTTGTGTAGTTTTAATTAGCACAATTTTAAAATAGGCACGTTTAATACTTTCCGCTGTGATTAATTATCAGAGAAAAAATATGCTGGTTTTTCCTACTACTGATTTATCACGAATAATCGATCTTGATAGTTGCAAATGTCAAATAGAAATAGTCTAATTATTCCATGCGCGGTTCATTTCCAGTACACTCGGGTGACACAGTAAAATTAGACATTTTAATTAACATCTGTAATTAATTGGAACTTCGATTACCTACGCGTTATAGTTTACTATATATGTACTACTGAAATATATTTTTATTTTTTATTTAATTTTGTTTTAATTCTCTCTATTTTATTTAAATATTTCCATTAACTTAACATTGAACAATTGCACGAATCCTTTTAATATCTCCTTTTAATATAATAATAATTATTTTTTTTTACAAATTTATATGGCTAGAATAGAATAGAAAACATTAAAATAATGCAAAAATATTGTAACAGAAATAATAATTACTGGTAGTAATTTTATCGAATTTGTCGCTAGAAAATTCGACGATCCGGGTGTACGTTAAATCGTAAATTAAATTATGGTTAAACGAACGGATATTTGGTCCTCGGTTGAACGAACTGTTAATTGCTCATCGATATCCTTGCGCGAGGAACGCAGTCGCTGTTAAAGTAAACAGCGAAGTTCGCCGTTTAAATGACGGCGCTGTTTATGAATTCGTGTCACGCGGCCAGGATAATGTGTATATCCGAAAGAGTCGATGTACCGAATGATAAACAGACAGGACCACCGAAGCGATTGATATTTAACATAAACGGAATCTGATCGGAATCCCTAATGGCGAGCACTAAACCCGCGCGAAACCTGTTTTCATCGGTTTTTAACTGTTTTAGCGTCATCGGATTCCCGCGACGCGCGTCGATTGACACAGTGAACGTATTCGGGGTGAAATAGTGTCACGAAATTACGGAACCAACTCTTGCTCATTTTTAAAAAATTAATACAAAATATTTGTAAAATTTTATTACCGAAAAAATTCTACGTTATTTAATATCGTCGTTAATAACGAATATCTTTAGCGACAATGTACCATGCGTTACGTCGGTTATTGACATTATGAAATGTTTCTCCCCGATTGAGAAATTGAAAACGCGGGCTCGCAGACGAGAATCAGGAAACGAAGAGAATGTATTTATGAGAATAGAAAGTGCGAGATTTTAGAGATACGAGATTAAAATTGAGAGAAACGTATACAGCTTACTCGAGATTTAGAAAATACGCGATAAGGAATGCGAGATAACGATGTGGGGCAACTGCGGAGGACAGAAAATTTTGGAGAGCACCGAGATTCAAGTCCTGAACTCTGCTATAATCTATTTACATAGAGAAAGTGCAGGGATTGTTCGTTTACGTAATGCAAAAGTAAAAAAAGCGAATATAAAAATCGTGAACCTCAGGCTTTTGAATCACGAGTCTTTAGTTTTCTTTTTTTTTCTAATAATTTAGTATTTTATTTAGGTAACAAATAACGACTTATCTAGATATTTTGTCTAAAATTTTAGATAAAATTTCGTTCAAACTTTCACGCAACAATGTAACCGTTTACAAAGTATGTAAAATACTTGCGACATTTTTATTGCGACCAATCAGATTCCAGCGGCCATAGTGATCTTAAATTCGTATAAATATTCATGGACTTCGCATAAATTCGTGGCAAAGGCAGCGTTTTTATTGCGAATCCAATTGAAATGCCATCATCCATGTAAGAAAGTGAAAGGGCCCGCGTAAATTACGTAAAAAATAGGCCGCTTACTTGGAATAGAAATTACTAGGTTTGAGACAAGTGGGAAAACAAGCTGATGGCCTTGGCGAAATTATATCTTAACCTCCTCGGTCCAGATAGTTTTTATCCCGATTAAATATTACATTCTTTATGTAACTCTGCTATTGATCCAATACTTCAATTTTAAGACTATGGTAATTCATGTCCAAAATTATTGTTCACAAATTGAATTTGTTTTATTTTCAATGGATCAGTGGGGTTCTCCCGATGAAAACGAGCCCAAACACGACATCGTTCAGACTATTTTAGATTCTACGTGTTCGAAGTCATTTTTGAAAATGTTCCAGGTTTCGAGTAAATCAATATAGTCGGAACTAGGTCGTGTTTGGACTCGTTTCAATCGGGAAAACCCTCGCTAATCCCTATCGAATGCTTTTCTTTCTATATGTACATTGCAAATGTAATTTGTCCGTTGCAGACTGTTCTCGACCAACGTTACATAAAATGGTGGTGGACTACGCAATAGTCGTCAGCGAGGCCCGGAAAAAGTACGGGGAAGGAGCAGCGATTCTGAACGGTCTGAACCTAGCTGTTCCTAAAGGGTGCATGTGAGTAATGCATTACCACCGAGAAAGAAACTAATTTAATCCAACAGAAAGCCTACTAATCGAATTTTATTTCCTTTTCCAAAATTGAGACCCGTATAGTCGGGTCAAAATTAACGATTCGAGGCTAACTTCATCTATGCATGCTTTCGCGTCTGAGACACGATATTTCATTAATAAATAATTATACAAAGAGTAATCAAGAACTAGGAAATACTTGCATCAATATATATATATCTACATACCTATTTTAATATTTACAACATTCGGTGTGGTCAAATGGTGCGATGGACGTTGCACGTGGGCGTGGCTAATTAAAATAGGCGCGGATAACCTCGCGATAACTTTGAAGGTTAATAACGACCTTTAAAGCATCCTTATAGAAGGTTCTGCGTAACGAATCAGCTGCTTTTGATAGTTTCTTATTCAGATTTAATTCCCTATGTACCGATGCACAGATATGGCTTGCTGGGGGCCAGTGGCTGTGGGAAAACCACCCTGCTATCCAGCGTGGTCGGTGTACGGGAGTTGGACAGCGGCGACATTTGGGTTCTCGGTGGGAGACCACGATCCAAAGAGTCAGGCATCCCCGGGCCACGAGTGGGATACATGCCGCAAGACGTTTCATTGGTCGACGAGTTTTCTGTAATTGGCGCGCTTTACTTCTTCGGCAGAATCAACGGGTTGGACGATCACGTAATCGGTAGGGGACAAAACTTGATTTTGTCTTGCTTTTTGCGCGAATTATATAACGTTTTCCGATACAAACCGTACAAGTAATCTTCCGACACGTATCGCGACGAACCAGAGAAACCAACATGGCCGACGCGGAACCAGACGCAACTATTAACGAAAACTGTACAAATGAATTCGATATTAAATAGTTCCTCGAACGAGCAAGATGATCTTGAAAACAATTTTAACACCGTCCCTGTTCACCGTTCTATTTCAGAGGAGAGGTTCGCGTTTTTGAAAGATTTGCTACAGCTGCCGCCGCAAAACCGTTTGGTGAAGGACATGAGCGGCGGCCAGCAAAGACGATTGTCCTTTGCGGCCGCGTTGCTTCACAAACCCGAGTTGCTGATCCTCGACGAGCCCACCGTCGGTTTAGATCCGGTTTTAAGGGACAAGCAAGTACACTTTCATTCCCTTGTCTTTCGATCGCGAAACGAGGCCCAAAGAACCCACGATAAGTAAGCAACGACTATTTCCCACAGTATCTGGGACCACTTGGTGAAGATCACGCGCGAAGATAACGTCACGGTTATCATCACCACGCACTACATCGAGGAAGCGAAACAGTCCGACAAGGTGCATGAATTCTCCGATTTTCAGACAATCCGTGAAACTCGGAATTAAGAATATATTCGAAAGAATTTTACGTACAAAAATACACGGGGGGAATTAATGGTTGCAATTCTCAGATCGGATTAATGAGGAATGGACTGTTACTGGCCGAATCGTCGCCGACCGAGCTGTTGGAACGATGTCACACGGAATCGCTGGAAGAAGCGTTCCTGAACCTGAGCGTTCAAGCCGAGAGCCAACCTCAAAATTTCGTCCAAACGTCGATCCCGATAACAGAGCTCTGCAACGTCGTCACACTGGACTCGATTTACGGGAATTACGCGTCAAAAGTTGGTACACACGCGTATTTAAGAACAGTTCACGACATAACGACTCTCTTTACCGGTTAGCGACGCGCACTGAACCCAACCTTAACCTTAACGGTTCCCGCGTAACGCGTAGGGCGCCAAGATTTGAATCAGCGGTAGAACCTCTCTACGTATTTCTAATTATTTTAATAAAATCTTTTTTATCCTCGTAGAAGAACGTACAATGGCGAAGCAGCTCGAAGAAAAGATGCAAGGCCTTGTTCATGAAGAACGCTTTGCAATACATACGCCACCCTGGGTAATTGTTACAATAATTAATCTCCGGGACGAAAAATAAATTAACGTTTTGAGCTATTATTATATTATTCGAATTGAATTTTACTCGATTCTAGCGTAAGAAATGTATCGATAATCGGTTTATTTGTGCAGAGGAGTTTTGTTCTCGATAATATTGCCGATGCTGCAGCTGTTGCTGTTCTTTAATTCCATCGGATTGGACCCAAAAGGAGTGGCTATATCTATCGTGAACGAAGAGGCTGGGAATTGCGACAATGGGATGAATCTGGGAAATATTACGTACGACGAAAATGAGTTTTCGTGCAAATTCTCGGACCTCAGTTGCAGACTGATACACGGTATCAACTCGTCCGTTTTGAACAAAGTACGTGGGACGTTTTTTAACGCTTGGTTGGACGAACATCGACACTAACATTGGTTGAGTTTAATTTCTAGATATATTACGATGACTACGATCTGGCGGTAAAAGAAATCCCTTCAAAGAAAAGCGTCGGAGTAATGTATTTCAGTAGAAATTTTTCGGACGCCACGCAAGCAAGGATGGATGACTTTTTATCGACGACAAACGAGGACGCCATTGCCAGCCAGATAGAAGTTATGATGTACACGCCAGGTACGCGTCTGTATAATAATTAATAAGTTTCTATCGCGATATTAATTAAATAATTTTTATTTTAAAACAATTTTTACAAAAATCAAGACCATTTTTCTTTTATTTTTTTTAGATAGACAAATCAGTTTGTTCGTACAAAGACAACTGTACGATGATTTCTTCGACGAATACAAGGCCATCATAAAGGAGTGTCATATATCTCCGAAATTCGCGGATTTGCCAGTACGGGTACGTGTACTTTTCTAAACTTATTAATATTTTACAGGAACGCGTGAAACAATAATATTACTGATACGAAATTGTTCGATTTTCTAGTTGGAAGATCCCCTTTATGGCAAAAAAGATCAGAACTATATGACTTTCATTTTGCCGCCATTTTTACTGACGTAAGTGTAACGAGATCATTTTTTTTAAGGTTGCATTTCGTAACGAAAAGAAAAAAAAAATAAATTATAAATTTGTTGCTGTCTTAGGGTGATGTTTGTTTTGTCCACATCGATTTCCTCGAGCATAATCATAACTGATCGACACTCGGGCGTGTGGGACAGGATCCTGGTTCAAGGTAAACATTCGTGAAAAATTTCCAAGTCTTGTTTCGAAAAAATACATGGATCCATAAATTGCACTTTTTAGAACATTCGTATATGCAGAAATTTGTGTGTTTTAAAATAGGTGTTACGACCTCGGAAATTTTAGTCACGCACTTCATATCCCAACTGTTAGTGATACTCTTACAAGCCGCGGCAGCACTGTGCATCTGTTTCTTACAATCAGATGTGGAGTGGAAAGGTTCGGCGATGCCGGTAATTGGGATGACGATACTCGCGGGGATTTGTGGGATGTCATATGGTAATTATTAAAAAAAAATTAGCAACGTCCTTTTTATCCAGTCGTCCGGAGATAAAAATAAATATTGCAATTGCCCGTGTTTTTAACAGGCTTCCTAATATCGGTTCTGTGCACATCCCACACTCTTGTCAATTATGTGTCTGTAGGAAGCTTTTATCCATTGATTCTCCTTTGTGGTAAGTCATGCTCATGCGCCATTGGCTTGGATTTATTTAAAATTTCAATCATGGTACATTGTGAAGGGCGTATATACATGGTGTTCGACCACTCCAGGGAAAAATTTAAATGGGAGGTTCTAGGGGGCAAAATAAGACGAAAATCAAGAATATCAATTTGTTGATGGAGGCTTCGTCAAAAAGTTATTAACAATTAAATTAAAAAATTTCAAATCGTTCTAAAAAAATTATTTTCGGTTGTGGGGGTCAATTACAATCATTTTTGGTCAATAGACATACCCCCGAAATCCTACGCAGTTTCAAGAAAAAAATTCACGAAGGTGGGCAAATTTTTTGGCGAAATTGAAAAGTTTCGAATCATTATAAAAAAATTATTTTCGGTTGTGGGGGTCAATTACAATCATTTTTGGTCAATAGACATACCCCCGAAATCCTACGCAGTTTCAAGAAAAAAATTCACGAAGGTGGCCAAATTCTTCGACGAAAAAAAAAATTTCAAATCGTTCTGGAAAAATTATTTTCGGTTGCGGGGGTCAATTACAATCATATTTGGTCATTACACATACCCTCGAAATCCTATCCACTATCTAGAAAAAAATTCGAGGAGTGAAATTTTTCGAAGGAAAAAAAAATTTCAAATCATTTGGGAAAAATTATTTTCGGTTGCGGGGATCAATTACAATCATTTTTGGTGAATAGACATACCCCCGAAATCTTGCGCATTTTCGAGAAAAAAATTCAATACGAGCGGAACTTTAAACGTTAATAACTTTTTAACGAAGCCTCCATCAACAAATTGATATTCTTGAGTTTCGTCTTATTTTGGCCTCTAGAGTCTCCCATTAAAATTTTTCCCAGGGTTAGCTGAACACCCTGTATACATTCTACATAAACAATTATCTAAATACGTATATATACGTTCTCCATAAACCACTGTCATCCAAGGACGTATATATACGCCTATCCTCCGTTATAGAAGGGTTAAAACGTGTTGACCTTCACGTGCGTGAACGAGTGGAACATAGAAATTTGTTGAAATGTTAAAGGACTCTTGTGGCCAGTGGAGGGGATGCCGAAGGTCGTGAAATGGTTCAGTTTAAGTTTACCAGTAACGATACCAGGCACTTCGTTGAGGGGCGTTATGGAGAAAGGGAAATCGATGAGCGAGCCGGAAGTCTACTCCGGGTTTTTAGTGCTTTCAGGATGGATCCTGGGGCTCACGTCGATCTGCCTGTTTCACCTGAGGTCGAAGTCCGCGTGAGAGGCAAATGTGATCAGGGTGGTGAAAGGAAAAATTTAAACGAAGTAGCTGATACTTATTCGTTCGTGCAATAGTGAGAATGGAATTTTTGTTTTTTCACGCGTTCCACAGGGTCGATTCGTTTTTAGGTTTATTCTAGTTTCGTGTTTTCATGAAATGTGCAATATTGTATGTTTTGTTTTTTTTGTATAGTCGATAAGGAAACAGTAATTTAAACAGAGGATACGGTATACGTCCGAGCTACTTTTGTAACAAACATTGTTGAATATACGAGTCCGGACACGTCGCGAAATAATTGTTGTTTAGATATACGGTTACGTTGTAGGATAAAATGTGTGAATAGAAGCTAAACTCGTTGACAATTGTTAATAAATACTTGTATATTTTTCAATAACTTTCGATTATTTGTATATTGCGATATTAAGGCGATTATCGTCACCGAGGGCATTCAATTCATTCCAATTTATTTGTTCGTTCAATTTGACGAGACCGCGTAAAACGAACACTTTCTTATATTTATTTTAACGAAGCTGTTTATTTGAAATTTGTCTTCGTGTATTCCGTTCGAAGCAGAGCTAAATACGCGAATGGAAACATATTTGAACGCAAATAAGTGAACTATGTGCGAACAGTTAAATCAAATTTACCTGATACTTATACTCTTCGTTAAAATCTCTTGTTTTTACTGTTCTGGGACCACAATGAAACGTTCCACGTCGTAGTTCGATCTATAAAACGTAAAAGTAAGACGAGTATCACCGGATAATGTCAATATTGGTTATCGATCGTTAGAAGAAAAAAAAAAGAAATATTTAACAGGGTCCAGATTAGTACGATAAAATGAAATTAATCTTTCTTGGCGTCAATGAAATATAGTTCTTCGTTTCTGATTTATTTATCTCCTCTTATACGTTTTCACAGTTATACATGTTTACGACATTCACTAGATCGGATTAACATAGTATACAAACATATACAACGTGCGAACTATGTGAACATTTCTTCTTTTTTTTTTTTTTGTTTTTTTTTTTTGTCTTTATAATATTTTGTAACTCGTTCTTGGATTGGAGAATATTTATCAATAACCGTACTGGGATACGTCACATCGACCATCGATCCTGGAATATATTTCTTTACAAAAAAAACGAATAAAAAATAACGCGGGCATTTAGGTTAAATCACGTGATATACGCTGGCGTCCAAGCATTTTCTTTTTTTTTTTTTTTTTTTTGTTGATCACGACACCTACATCGAACAATACAATCAGCTCGATAGTCAACTGAGACGAATGCGTTTTATGCGAGATATCTTACAAGTATCTGGCACTTAGGTGAAAGATTGTTAAATAAATCATACAACGTTACGATAAAAATCGAAGAAGACTTGTACCTTTTTTTCTACGCTATACTTCTGTCCATCCTTAACAATCGTTACTCGGCCGATCGCAAAAATTATCGCTGTTCGATTAAACATAATATAACGACGTTTGAGAATATGCAAAAATTAATCCTTGCAGTCCAATTATTCCACTCTATTTCTACAGAAATCAGTCATCGATGCAAGAATGAAAAATTCCACAATATTGGTTTTCAATTAGAAAACAAAAAAAGTAAAATAAAAAATATAAACTACACTAGATTACTTAAATAGACTGTTTGGATTTTTCTGTTTGTTTTGTAAAGAATATAAGATTCCTGGAATATTGGAATGCAAGAAATGACTATTTTAGGTTAGAGTTGAAGGAAGTGTTCGACAATTACCAATCTAAACACTCGTATACTGCTGTTTGTAATCCCTGACTCTAGACGATAAAAAGTTTGGTTAGAAAATGTTCAAGTGCGTCAACAATGCTACGAATTACGTTTCGAATCTCAAACAAAACATTCTCTCTATCATTCTATCAACATCCTCTCTCTGTCTTTCCCCAACGTATACAAAATATGCGTAGATTATTTTGATTTCTCTTCATATATCTTCTCTCCCGTTTTGCCCTCGCCGCTACAAAACTCTAAATTACGATTACGGCTGACGAAATTGTCGTTGAAAGTCTCCCAATTTACAAAACCATACACCACCGTCCACGATTTAAACTTCCACATTAAACTGAACAAAACTAAACAACAGATAATAGAAAACAGTTTGTCATCTCATATTCAACGATCAACAATACTAACCTAAAAATAAAAAGTTCGTTTTTAGGGAGCTCGTTTCTTTCGAACGCTTCTACCTATTTCTCTTGGTTAATTGTCTACTGTATCTTCGACTTCTCGATTTCTAAAACTGATTCGCGTGGTCTTCGACTACACTTCTTGAAACAAAAACCACGCGTATTGCGATACCCCTAAAACGAGTACGAAATCATACGTCGTTTCTGTTACCGTATCATTAAATTGTTACCAAAATTATACGCCGCGAGAGATTCTGCGCAACACTTGCTGCAACTAGGATGGTCGCAGAAATTGCAAAATTATACTGCACGCAATGGTACGCAAGTGAAATAATTATTCCCGCCCGGGGAATAGACAACATATTCTTGAATATCGTAGATTAACCCCTTGGCCACGTATATATACGCTCTTTAAAAGTAGACACACGAATGACGTATATATACGTTCTCACAATGGACGATCTTACATATATATTCGTGTACCTTCGAACTTAGGTATATCGTTTTGTTCTTCGAATTTCTGGGAAAGTAAAAATGGATATCTATCTAAAAAATTATATCAATCACGTGCCAGATATCAAAGAGCGTTTCGTCGAGTATTAAACTACGTGCTATAGTCGACAAGCTTTTCAACACTTGTGGATGTACAAACTGAGTTGCCTAACGTTAAAGCTTAAAGCTGTTTTGTAAAAAAAAGATTAATACATAGTGTATTTTCAAATAAAATAAATTCTAATCCTTATCGAACATTAATTTTAACCAATTTAGTTACTACTATGATGTATCATCGTTTCTCGTTATGTAAATGATTTTAAAAACACTTGAAATCCCAACGTTAAGGGGCTCAGTCTGTATGTAAAAGAAATATAAAATCTCTCTTCAAAAGGAAGCAGTGCTGGGGAGAATAGATATGTGAAACAGGTGATAGTAGATAATAATATCTCCCGGCCGATCCAATGATCGTAATTGAGATAGTATTCTAAACAATCTATGGTATAAAGCAGTTAAAGTAATACACAAACATATTATCTGTAAGAAAACTGCATGTGAATTATTGGTATTATTTGGTGAAAGATATGTTAATTCCTATCACATAACTAATGTATTTGCCTTTTCCCATAATATCAAGCTGGTGAAGTCGAAAATGATCAGATCAATTAATAACTATCACGCATCGATCAAGTATATATTTTCCCTTACTTTGTTACAAATATCTTCCACCGTTCCAACCGACTTCAATATCAATTTTATAAAAATGTGACCTATTTTTTGATAGTTCACTGTTGCATGTCGGAAAAAGAATCCTCCAAAAAACATATATATTTATTAAAATAAAGCTTTTGATTCTCTATCGACCAGGTACATCTCCCACTTTTAAATAACAATACAAAGGAGACATTAACAACACTGTCAGTTCCTGTAATAGTGTCCATATTTCCTATCTGTATCCAAAAGCAGTAACGCACGAACTAAAACAGCTCAGATATATAAATTAGAAACCAACGACTAGCTGCAAGAAATGAACCAATGGACTAGAAGGCTAATAAAACTACCACTTTTACCTAAGCAAATAAATTTAACTAGAAACACTGAATACTATTCGCACTCTGTGCCAACACGAAAAAGGGTATATTCATTTTTACAGTCGTGGGATCAGTAATAACTGACCACTCAAGGCCACTCGAGCTATCCTCGCCTGCAGTCAAGCTAGGTTCAGAAACTTGTAGAGGTCTGTAACTGTACCTCGCTATGGTGTACATTCCTTTGCGATCCAAGTTGCCACACAGTTATTTATAATTCTAACTTTTAATCTTTGCTTTTACTCGTTTGTCTAGAATCTATCGTATCGAGCATTAAAGTTAATCTGTTGCAAGTTTCAAGCAGAATTAATTGAAATATGACGGATAGTTACAGTATGTGTTTCCCCCGGTTTCTGCGCCCTCTGTGCCTCGAGCAGAGAAGTAGACTAGGAGTAGGGGGATCGCGAAGTGGCCCTGAGCAGCCAACCGAGCCTGATCCCGACCGTAACGGTCCTGTTTCTATTTACGTATCGCTCGAAGCGTCGAAAACAATTTTTGAGAATCCCGTTTCACGTACTCCCCGGCACTGCGAGAGAAGGAAATCCTAGTCACGGCTGGTTGCACAATTAAACGGGAATTTCTCGCGGTTACTAAAGCTTTGAATGTTCTCGTAGGCGTGTACGTTCTTGTTGTTGTTGATGTAGCTGTTGATGTTGTTGCTGTTAGCCGTGCTGCTAACGCGACTGGCGCCGTTACTATCGCGATTGTTAGTAGCAGTATTAGTACGTTTAGCAGTAAGGCAGGGGCCGCATCGGATTGGCATGGGTCGAGCAGCAACGAGACAGTCAACTATCTGTCTTACAGTAGGCATGCAGGTTTTGCTGTACCCTGGAAAACACATATCACATGCTCCATCAGAACCGAACCACACATCGACTTCTATCACGCCATCGAGTTTCTTTATCGATCTGACAGATCTACAATGAATTTAAGAATATTATCGAGTTACTGTTATTTATTTTTTTTCGATCGAACAATCGGAAATTCTCGATTTTCTATGGGACGATTGCATGATAGAAGTCGCGATGGCCAAACACATTTCTCATGTCCCACGGAATAATTGTAAAGTACAGACAACAAAGTAACGAAGATACAGGAATAGAAAAAGAAGCGGAGTTGGTCGAAAAAAGATACAAGGGCGGCCTAAGGCCGTTTTATTCGCACTCAGGAAGCACTTGATGAGTTAACCCTTTGCGGTCGAACGCCATGTTTGTTTCTATCAACAGCAACTTTCTCATACCACTAGACTTCGATTCATTGGCATTGTAACAAAAATAAATAACATATGTACATTCTCTACGAATATAGCAATAGCAATTTGGGAATCTGTACGATACGATGTAATTCTTAACCCATTAGGCGCCAAACGGTTAGGCCGCGGTCGGACATAACCTACAATTCGATCGACAAACGAGGTTCTATTACGAAAACACTCTAGTAAAAAATGATATCTATCAAAAATAAATATCTGAAAACGTTCTATGAGTCGGGCAATGGCGCCTAACGGGTCGAACAGAACCGCGTCCCCAAAGGGTTAAGTGTTCAATATCGTCAGCTTGAGCATTTACTCGCCACCTTCGTCTATCTACGACGCGATACAGTAACAAGAAGAGCGAACAGAGTTTCTTTAGGGGTGAGCAAATAAGACTTGCGTATCAAGACTAACAAAACATAGGGGGTGGTAGGGGGTGGTGTCGGATAGGAAAGAAGACGTCCTTCTCAAACAAAAAACATAGTCGGTTCTCGCAAAAAAATCATTCCCAAAAAACACGATGCTCCACAACAGTGGCAACGTCAAAGGTCTCACTGCTGGCGGAACAATATAAAATTAGCCACTATAACAGAGGTACGCCTAAGAAGCTCAGCCATAATTCCAAACAATGACTCCGTTTCCATTGCACCCAAGCATAACGCGATATCATCGTATTTGATCCGGGCGTACGATTGAGAAAGAAAAAAAATACCAAAACGACAAAACGCTTCCGAAGATTTCGAAATGCTATCCGGTCCCGCGGAACAACGAACGATTTCATCACAGTTAGATGCAGTGGAGGTTCACTGTAAGAACAGTAATCGCCGGAGGGATTTCTCAAGCGAAATTCATGACAGAGGCGCATGACACCGTGCAACAGGATACAAGATACAAAGGAAGAGAGACTGTTCAAACTGCCATACTTACAAGGAGAGGTCGCCAGCACTGGAGTGTCGGGCAACTTTCATTTTGGTGAATCTAAAACGAATACGAAGGGACACGTGGCCTAGGCGCATCACCGCGCGACCTCTACAAAAACATTCGTTAGAAATGTACGGTCGGATCGAACAAAGAATCGAGACGACCTTGGACACCGGTTGCTCCACCCCCGCTCTGCCGTATGGCGTCTAGTGATGGGTTTAAACGCATCGCGAGTAGTATAAAAATCTGATCGAACGACATTTGGTTGTAATCGTTGACACGTGGATGCAAAATGGAGGCTTAGGTCCTTGAACACCATAGGTGATAGTTTGACATTTTTAAGACAATTAACGAAGCTTGCACGATGGTTTCTAGTACCTATGTTCGGGGCAGTACGAATAACAGATTTGGGACCAATTCGATTCTTTTTTCGATCCGACTATAGTTCACTGGAAAGGTGACCTTGAATCTACGAAGTTGGTAGTATCATATATCGCGAATTCTTTCGTCTTAAACGTAAAATAAGAAATTTCATTAAGATTTCGAAAGTCGAAAATTTCTAACAATTTTCTGAACTTAATAAAATATGATTGTCATAATAGCATAGGTCTTCTCGTGTATTTTGCTTTCTGTCGACTGTTGGAAAGAAATATATCTACTAAGAATCTGAACGAAATATAATGGCCGTTCAAGGTCACTACCCCCACCTAGTCGTATACATGCATCGTGTAAATTAAACGGAAATGACCTACGGCAGTTGATTAATTTTATCTAGGTTATAGTAATACACAATACTACATTTTACTGCAAACAAATAGAGGGCGTTCTCGACTCGCTGGTTCTTGACAATATCTTTGAAAACATTTGGACAGAACGTGCCCCCTTAAATTGTACCTGTTCAACGTGAGATTCATCCCCACTCTGTTTCCGGTTTGCATAAGTCAATATTCCTTTAAATTCATCCTAGATTCACCAAGAAAAAAGTTGATCGAAGTCCCCTCCTTGTTAGCCCTCTAACGGCGTCTACAAGCCCGAAAACACTTCGATGCGTGAAACACGTCAGTAAATTAAAATACGCTCCTCCCTCTCCCTCCCTCTCTCGATCCCTTCAACGTTAAAAACTATACTGATATGGCGGTTCGAAATAGTAAAAAACACGATCTAAAAGGGTATAAAAAACAATTGGCACGTTACGAATAAAGGTTACGTTGGCAGACCGTGGCGCGACGCTTATTCGCTACGAGATAGGCGCTCAGTCGCAACGTTAAAGTAATCGATACACAGGGTATTCAAGAATACGTGCCGTCTGAAATAATTGCCAAAAGGTGGAATTTACGAGAAAAAATAGTCCAAGATTTCATTCATTTCTCCCGTGAAATCTGATTTCTCTTTAACTTTTCAAGGTCATATCAAGGTCACTTTTGTATGGTTCAAAAATTGAACAGAAAATTCTTTTCCCCGCGTTCTCAGATTTGCGGGGTCCATCGCCTCCCGTGCTCGCCACCAGAGGGCTACGGCGCTCTTGTCTCTCTCACAAGCGTTCGAACGACCTCCCGTTTGCATATATACGCTCCTCGACCGAAGTCTAAGGCAGGGCCTGCTAGTATGCCTTACCGACGCGCCCTCTAGCAGACCCAGTACGAAATGATGTTCTCTCCTCTCCCTTTCCATCTCTCAACAACTTGGACCCCACAGATCCTACATAAAAAAAATGACAATCTCGTTTACTGTTCTTTCTCGTACCTTCCAATTATTTCAAAATACTTCTGCACATATTTACAGACACCCTGTATACACGAGTTTTTCCACGGTATCTGGAAGGAAAACTCAGATGAGCGAAGGTCACTGTGAAGCGTTTTCCCCGATCGATGTACCGCAGCCCATCGTATCACTTACATAATTTATAGAATACTTTATAATTAATTGAAACGATCTTCCGTAGTATTGACACGTTATTTAGGATTGTCTCGATAATTTACCGCCCGCTGTTGCCCGCGTGCGTTCCCAAGAAACCATATTTCCTACAACGTTATTATTTCCTTAAAACTATCGGTTGTTGTATCCCTAACAGCGGGCGGCCCCTTAGATTAGTTCGTTAATTCGTTAACGCGATTAAATAACGTCGTTCCTGCGTTCTCTAAAAGGAGGATTTTACGAAGGCCTGTGTTTCATGTTTATGCATATTATACTCGTTAGAACTCTTCCTATTTACGACAATCAACGTGTGCGGCTTAGTAATACGCTTCGAGATTTCGTCCTTTCGTTCGCAGCGCCAAAAATCTCGTCGCGGGAAATGACTTTAATTAAATAGAATCTATGGAGCGGTATATAATCGTAACATCTTTGGCGTTCCTCTCGCGTGAAATATACAGAGATACGTATTTCGTCGTCTAGGCTATCGTACAAGTGAAAAATCTCGGTATCCCTCGAAGGCGACTGTGTCTCGAGTCTGCTAAAAGTTTTCAGGTGACCTAACGAGAGTTCGAGAGCTAATTCGCGGACTCTGTTCCAAACTAATGTGAGCGTGTCTCCCCAACGAGTCGTTTCTCTCTCAAATATTCGTTGATTGTTCGTCTGCTTTGAAACTCGTCCGGATTACAGGGCGGTCTCCTTCTCGCTGATGATCTTAATGCCGTGCTTCGTCAGGATCATCTTCACCGTCTCGTTGTCCCTGATGTTCGGTCTTTCCATCCACTCGACAGAGTCCTGGCCCTCGTCCTCTCTATCCAGGCCCTCTATCAGGGAGTCTAGGTTGTCCGTAGACGAGTCCACGTAACGCACGTTATCGGCGGACCTCTGCAGCGACTTGCACCGCCTGGAGGTCCTCGAGGCGCGTATGTTATCGGCGGAGCCGATCAGCTTGCTGTTCCTAGGCCTGAGCACCTTGTCGTTCATCCTGCTGGACGTTTTCGCCAGCTGAAGATTGTCCACCGACGAGTAACGTCGTTTGTCTTGAGAAACGATCGCAGAGTCATCTGGCTTCTTCTTCATCAACGACGCCTTGCGACTGATTCGCCTGGCCCCGCTGGACAGGATCGCTATCTCGTCCTTGGGGATGAAGTACTGCTCACGCGACTTCTTACCGACAGCAGACGGATCGAACAAGTTCAGAGCCTTCGACGAGTGTTTCTCGGCGTCCCGGTCGCTCTGCAGACCGCAGTTCTCGATCTCGAAACTGTCGTCGTCCAACGAAGGATAAGAGATGGCGCTGTCGACGATTCTGGAAGCCTCTTTCGGAAGACTCTTCGAGGACGACTCGAGCGTTCTGCCGTGGAGGGGGGCATCACGCGCCGAGAATATCGCCTCCTCGGGATTGAACGCGGTGCAAATCTCACCGCAGACCTCGCATACCTCGCACAGCTGGTCGCAGTCGGTCGTCGAGGCGATGATCCTCCTGTCGAGCGCGTCGGTGGACTCTTGTAGGTTCCACGAACTACAGATGTCGCACTCGGTCGAGTCCTCGTCGCCCAGGGAGCTGCAATTCGAACGCAACGTGTAAAAATTCTCCTGGCTGGGGCTACCCAGCGCCTCCTCCGTCCTCAGCGACATCTCGTTCACGTAACAGCAGACGGAACAATACTCGTCCGTTTGCATGTCCAGCTCGTTCGCCGTGATCAGTTGCGACGTGCTGTCCGCCTTGGATGGGTCCTCGTAGCACGCCTCCTGGATTATCTTTATCGACTCGTAGCTCTTGGACTTCTTCGAGAACGAGTCGTCGGCTCTCGACCTTCGCCTGGACGTTGTTCTGGGGTCGCTGGTCACCATTACCGAGTCGAGGCTTCCTTTGAGGGGCGCGTAGTTTCGACGCGAGGAAGACTCGTGGACTTTCTTCCCCTCTCTGGGACTCTTCGTCCTCGACGAGGACTTGGACAACGTTTTGTAGAACGTCTCCTCCGACTGGGTGTACGAATCGGTGCACTCTTTCTCGGTTCTGCCCTCCTCGTTCTCGCTGTACACCCGCATCTGGCCGTTTTTGGTCTTCCTGGGACTCTTGCGGGAGTTGACGACAGACTTCAGATACTTACCATCTATCTCGAGGCTGACGTCCCGCTTGGACGATTTGTCCAAGCTGGAAGGATCATCCGTACCCTCTTTCTTCGCTGTCTCCTCGACTATTTCTTGGATCTCGACCGAACTCTCGTTATTCACAGACGGCACAGACGGCTGCACCAGCAGACTGAGCTTGTCGGACTCGCCCTTGTATATCGTAATCTCGCCCTTACCCTGCACCCCGTTCTCCTCCAAGATCAATGTACCGTCTTTCTCGAAAGGGTTGTGTATCATGGCGCTGACTAGAACCAACACCTGGGTGTTGGAACATCGTACGGCGTCGTTTTGGAAACAGTCCTGCCCGACCACGTCGTTCCTTTGGCTCGACTCGTTCGAACCGGACTGCTCCGTGCCTAACCTCAAATCCTCGTTTCGTTCTCGGACCTCGTCCTCCGTACCGTCGTCTAAACCGTATCTCGTCAATCTGTAATTCTCCTTGTCTACGCTGAAGTCCGACAGAGCGCACTCGTGTCGCCCGCTGTTGTCAATGGCGGACGTCACCGAGGGGCTCGACGGCGACAACGACTTGCTATCGGTATCTTTGTCTATACTTAATCCTACGTCGTCCTCGAGCGTCGTTCGACCTTTGCCCTCGTCGCCTTTCGCCTCGACGTCGATTTTCACGGTCTCGTCCCGCTCGACGGGCGCCACGACGCTCGAGGACACCTGCTCTACCTGGCTAGGACAGGGCTGGACCCTCACGACCTTCCTAACCTTTCCGTCATCGTCAACGAAACCTACCTCGTCGAGGATCTGCGACTCGCCGGTTTCGGTGGCGATGATCTGTTTCGCGAGACCCGGGTACGTAGCCTTCGCGGTGGTCATGTGTTTGGCGTTGCCGTTCTCGGCGACTAGGGCGTTTATAAATTTTTCGCGCGCCTCCTCGAGGCCGCCGTGACGGGCGGCCATGTTCGTCGCGTTCTGGATATTCTTACGGAGCACCGTGTCGGGTACGTCGATGGATATAATTTCGATCGGACTCGGGGAGTCCATGGTTACGTCGCTAGGCGACGGCGTGAGAAAGGTGCTTTGATACTTGGAATCAATGGTCAAGTAATTATTCGCGTTCGGCGAGGTCAGTTCCAACTTACTTCGGTGTCCAAGGAGATTGGCAGCGTGAAAAACGAAGATACTATTTTTTTATATGGCACTGATCGTGGCGGTGCTCGCCGTGAACCCGATTCGAGGATCAAGGCAACTGATACAGAAAGTACCAAAGGGATCGAGTGCCAAAATTGAAATTCTTTTAAACCATAATGACGCGGTGAGTTGCAGAAATGCGTTGGAATTTATAATTTATTGGCCGTATCTATTCGTCGTTATCTTATCTCGTATTATAAATTACACGCTCGTAAACGCTTTATCTCTTCAAATAACTTTTTATCCGTATTCGTTTTTCGTAATTAAACAAATTTGTTATTAGCCTCGTTGAGTCCCTTTGGTATTTCCACTCCACGATTTATACCTTCATCCGTGAATCGGTACTCTTATTATAGTATAACTATATTAAGAACGTAACATAATGTAAGGAACGTAAAAATAATTGCAAACAAATTTATTCGTCACAGAATTGGAAAATTGGTTTTCGTGATTCAGTTTTACATAAAATGGAAGACTCTTAGACTAGACTATTATCTATTATTGTATGGTACTTCTACAGCATACATTAACCCTTTCAACATTCAATAAACTCTTTTATGCAGTAACGAGTATTTACTTATTCATTTAAAATATAACAACACACGATATGACTTGATTACCTCTATAAATATTTCAAAAGATCGATATAATTGCATCACCGTTTTAAATAGTAAAATTTATCGATCGATAAAACGATTCGTGTCATTTTAAATGACTACGATAATCATATACTACTTTAGTTAAAAATAAATAGACATCTTTATACAAAATTAGAGGTTATGAGTAACCCGAAACTCGAGATCGAGCAGTAAAAAAATTGGCAAATGGGGGCAGCACCCGACATATCAATCATTTACACGAACACGACGTATATGTATTCATAAAACACTTTTCTCTGCTATAATTATACTACAAAGCGCTAAACCTTTCTCCGATCTCTAAAATTCGATACAATGAATAATATTTACAACGCGATGGCATCGATATGTCGTAATTATTGAGTCCTAAAAGGGTTAAACTGTGACTATAAAATATACAATTATATATCACTTTGTGTAACAGCTTCACAACATCTTAAATTAACTAGCCGTATATGCTCTAAACTCACCAACTACGTGGAATATGAGTGCTATAAAAATATACACTTCTCATACAAAATATGTAAAAATAAACTTTTGTTTAAATCTACTGGAAGATATGCTATTAAATTGTCACTATTAATGTCAACTACAATTTCAGTTAAATTATGTTACACTCACATTGTCGGCGCCGTTGTCTTCGCATCGTATATCTCGTGTTTATAGACGTAATCGATCACAGCATCCTGCAGGAGATATCTGACACTTTCGCCTCGCTTCAGCGCCCTTCGTATCCTAGTTGAGCTAACTTCATTTGGAATCCATTCAGTAACTATGTATATATTGTGCTGTAAACAGAATAACAATATAATTTAGAAGCACGTAGAAGTTGTGATTCGAACGTTTCTTAAACGATTACTTACCATATGCCTGGAGAGAATATCCGAGTCATATATAAATTTATTAGGATTAGAACCCTCTCTGGTAATAACCACAAGACCGTGTTCACCGACAATCGCATCAATCTGTAAAAAAGAAAATCATAAGTATCTTGTTTTTAAGAAACAAAGACTAGAAACATTAGTGTAATAACTTACATCTTCTTCTGCCCAGAGATCATAGGTCCCGAAACTTTCTAACAAGTCGGCACCGCACAATAATTTAATTTGGATAGGAGTACGGTCAGAGCTGTTTTTCACATTTTCTGGTATCCATTCCAGATCTTCCATTGGCAAGTGATTGGCATTATTGGAATCGAATAACACAGAGTTCAATAAGTTTTGGTGATGCTGTAAACTAATTCTCGTCTTCGTCCAACCATTTTGTCTAGTTTCCCAACTGCTCAGCCGAATCCAATCGCTGTTATGTAAAGCTAATTTTAACATAGCGCATCTATGAGATGCGCTTGCGAGTTCTTTCTTTGCGTATGCGTCGTGTACAGGAGATATAACACCGCCAACCACAATATGCGTTCCCATTCGGTGGAGATGATCTCTGGCAATTTCTGTAAATTTTTCATACAAAATAAAGAATTAATGTTATGTCCCATTTAATGAAATAACTGATTCAATATTTTAATCTAAAAGCAGAATTTATATTTTTAAAAGGCAATGTATGTAACTACGCCTCGAGCAAGTATATTTTACGTTTCGTGTAATTTCTATGCTAGACAATGAAATTTATCCGAATTGTTTACACAGCGTTATCTTACAGCGACGTCGATTTGTTTAAGCAATCCGCGACGATGATTATTACAAAATTTATAATCTATATTGTGCATATATTAAGGAGTTCTCTATTTACGTAAAGATCGGATATTGATTAAAAGCGAATGATATATATGTACCAAACATTCTTAGGTGCATATTGGTTGGAGGGTTATAACTGCCACACGACATAAGAATAACACGCATCGGTGCCATTTCTTCTCCTTCTACTTCGCTGCATGTGCTGACAGCAGTATTACCGGACCGCTTAAGCTTTTCTCTCGAAGTTTTGTACAGGTAAAACACGAGACATTTAGGAAGATACGTTATAACACGAGATAAATCGTTACACTGACTACCGTAACAACCAACTACACGATACAAGCTGCACACTGGCTGACGTTTCAGCCATACTTGAGACTGTGCAACTGCAGTAGTCAGTTGAGAAATTGTTCTCAGCATTGTAATATCAGAAGGCATATAAAATTCATCAACTCTTGAACATTACTTATTTTTATATCCTACAACATTCAATGACTACTTCAATCAGTTACAGAATTTCCACGCGATTGTCAATTGTTAACTTGACGCACGTTGCTGTTTCATAGTGTCGTTCGACTTTGATGTTCTTTGTAACGGTTATTCAGAATAAAAGTTTTTCATATTAGTTTCGAATAGAATTTTTATATAACAAGGTTTGAAACAAGTATTTTTGAAATTTTTACAAACTCTGCTTCAAAGAGACGTTCCTATGGATACGAAAATGGAACAAAAATCTCAATAGAATTTTAGCAACAATGTATCGAGAGTATACAGAAATGAAAATTTTGCTAAATGGAGGCAGAGTTAAATACGGTAAATAGAATAATACATTGTATGGTCATGAATCTTTCGATTGCAAGGCTTTCGTAGAATTTCTTTCTCACTCTTCCGTCCTTCGAGTACCTGAAGCCTGAATAAATTACCCTTGCAGGTCAGTTTTGTTTTGACTGTCGAATGGATAACATTGAACAAGTTCAGGTTATTCGAAGACACGTACAGTTTTCCTATTTGCAATCCAAACGTTACTAACTACATTCCACATACGTTTTTACATGTTTTTTCCTAATATTATTATATTTTTGCATTTAAAGGAAGGTTTCATATTGGTGTGGTAAATTTAATAAATACATATGAATTCATAAGCTTAGATATTTGTTTTGTATATTTCAGGATTGTACATGGGGGAAAACCGGAAGAACAGCAACGTCTTGTGGCGCCATAATGCAATCGATACTCTCGAACCTTTCGACATCCATACGGGACAACTTCAGAGTGATTGGTCAAGTGTGTTTACAGGAGGATGCACGTATGTTTACTTTTCCCATTTTTATGATGCATAATTATCGCTATTGATGCAACGTAACTTTAATATTTATATATTCAACGCTATTGGGCCATTTTATTAAAACATTTTGGGAAATCATTTAAGTTTGTTTATAATCGACCATAATAAAGGGGAATATTTTGAGGTGCCCTGTGTCCAACAATGTTATATGAATAGTTAATGTGTGTACAAATGTTTGTGTTTTGTTTTACATCTTAGCAGCGTGGAAACTGAGGTAATTATATTTTTTATACACTTTAACGTATCAGTATTTATACGAGAAAGTCATGAGATTTGGTATGGCGATTTTAATATATTTATAGTGCATTATCTTTGCACATTAAAAGTAAAGAGCTTCGTACTTTTATCGCTTTCATAATCTAAATTACGAAAAAAGAAAGAAACGGGGAGAACATTCTTGGAATTTATTTTTCATTTCCTCGAATGCTTTTGCCCCGCTCAAAATATGTTAATTTTGCGTGCAAACGAAACGCGATCGTAGAGCTTTAGCGTTCCGCGCGCGGTAATGTTCTTTTTCCATTCTAGAGCGCCACTGGCTCTAATTATAATTGTTCAAGTACACGCGAAGTTAGAGTTAGCATTGTGATGCATTTAAAATTCATCCAGAGCACCGACACACTCATTGCTTTTTAAACGCGGAAATAGAGTCGAATTTCTTCGCGTCTAACAACTCTCAGCCGAGGCGTGTAAAACTTTTTTTTCCATTACAACTGTATATAAGTTAGTGACGTTGACAACAGTTGAAAAAACTGCTGTCGAATCTCACGGTAGAATGTTGTCGTAAGTGATTACCGACTAATTCTATAAAATTGCACGTCGAGTGTATCAAACTTTGATCTTAATCGTACGTTCACGTTGTTTGGTTAGTTTCTGTCGTTTTACCAGCGAAGTGATCCGCCATTCTTCGTTTTCCTTCGCGTTTTCGTCGTCGACTTTGTTTCTTTTTTCCCTCGCGAATGTAGATTCGTCCTTGGCCGAAGGGTACTCGTGCTATGAAGCACGGTGTATCGACGATGCGGAAACGAGCCTGCGTGTCGTCGAGCACCGGGCGCTCGTGATGCATGGTTCTATGAAACTCGGTCGCCCGGAGGCCGAAGAGCGAAGGACGTAGGTTGGCCGGATTTCGGTCGCGGAAGGGCCGATCGTGAGAGCTGCTCGTAATTAGTTGGATGCGTAGCAACGCGTACTTCACCTCTGTCGCGTCACAGGACCCTGAATCTGGTCGCTTTGTAAACTGTTCTTCGAGTGCCAGCGGTATGACGTCATGCGTTCATTTTCTTCCACCTCTCGCGTTGTCGACCACGACCGCTACTCTGACACGTACCGTTCCGACAGTTTACTACTCGGATATCTTGACAAATATTCAAATAAAATTTGAACTTCTAAATATTTTTTACTATTATTCGAACATCATTCCACAATTACGGTGTATATCTTTTTTATTTGAATAACAACGGTCGTATAGTTTTTAGGTTAGAATACACGAACGTGCATCTGAATATTTGAATTTCGTTCGCGACGTAATATTTGTGAAATATTCAAACGGTAAACTATTCGAATAGCCTCAGTCTTGCACGATGCCCCGTTTGCATGCTATTTCCTCTAGAAATGCCCGACGATTTCGACATTTTTACCGCACGCCGTACCCGTCGACGTCTTTCTGTCTTTGCATAGAGAGGTCTCGTTGGATACGCTCGGGACACAATGTAGATGCTTTACTTGGCGATCGAAGTCGCGGACGAAGTCTCGTTTCTGTTTCGAATCGTTTCGTTTCTACTTTGATATCGCTGTTTTTCCCGTCCGTGCATTTCTCGAGTTTTTCTTCCAATTGGGAGCCCGGATAAAACTGTAATCGCGATCGAAGGTTGACTTTAGCGAAGCAACGAAATCGTGCGCGACTTTACGAAATGAAAATAAAATTTCGTGGAAAATTCGGGTGAAATGAAAAATTTGTTTCATTACAAAAATTCATTTTTAATCTTACGTACCTATATTTTGTACCATTTTTCTTCTCAGCTTCGACGAGTAAAATGTATCTGAAAATGTTAACTCAGGTTGCTTTTTTTATTTAACAGTTTTATTACAAATTCGAAGTTTTCGTATTGCGTATATTTTTATAAAATTGCGCCGAACATAAAAAACAAAAGAAAGTATATAATAGAATTCTAGCATTCAGCCAATAAATTTTTAATTTTAATTAAAGAAAAATATACGTTTCAACAGAGAACGATGGAGATAAAAGCTCTATATTAAGGATCATAAAAATTTATACGCAATCGTGTAACATTCATCGCGCGATCCATAACGTTTCTCCGTTCCCATTAACCCGTTTCTTGAACGCGAGACGAATCGACGACCATTTATCCATCGAGACCCAATGGTAATCCTTGTTACCGGGAAGATGGATCCTCGGACGCAGACGGCTTTGTTCCCGCATTTTGACTGCGATTCATAACAAATTAAAAGGTTCGTCTCGCGGTAAAGAACGTCCACTCACGGTGCCGTAATTTTTGCCACAAGTAAGAAATCAATACTGTGATACGGTTATAAATCCACAAGATGGCGTCGGAACGCGCGTATCGTGTTTGATCTTTCGCGTAAAACGGAATCGAGGCTCGCGCGTCGGATAAAACCTTATCTCTTTCGCGTAACGATGCAGAAATTCGCTTTGGCCCGGGAACAATCTCGATTCCCGACTCGTTCGCGAATAGGGACGCAAAGAAAAATGGAAAGAAGCGCGTCGAATTGAATTTCAGACGAGCGATGGAAAGTATGTACAGATAAGACCGTGAGTATTCGTCTCAGAGAGGCGTGGCGCGAGAACCGCTCGACTCCGCCCACTTTGACGACGGTCCAACCCGGTGTTGCATCCGAACGTAACTCCGCCCACCGGGGACAAATCTTTCGCGCTCCCGCCTATACATTCGCGACGCTAGAGGGCGCGGGTAATAAACAAACGACACGTTTTAATAATACACAAATTTTATTTTATTCATTTTTTTTTCTTCCCGCAGAATCGAGGAAATCATTTGTTGAGAGAACAAAACCTCTGCAATACGAATAGCAGTTACAAGTAAATATTTACAATAATATATAAGTGGTTGCCTTTCATTTTTTTTTTTTATTTCCATTATGAATTGTTTTCTGTTGTTTGTCTGGTATATTCCTACTTCTCGCACTGTTAATGATAATCGATAATGATAATCAATTAATTAATTAATAATAATAATGATAATAATTATAAGAATCGTACTGAATCATATTAAGAATATTTCCATACGTCCACCTGGTAATGGAGGTTCAATCATAGGCATACCAATCGACCATCGAATCATGACAATTATTGACAAATTGATAGAACGTGCCTTTTAATCTGCTACGCATCCCATTATCGCCCAATCAACCCTTATTTTTTCACCGTTTCCGTTTTCTCGCATCTTTCACCCTCACGCATCCCCCAAATACACGCATTTCTTATTTCTCGTCGCTGTTCACCATACCTCCCCTTCCCTGTTTCCTGTTTAATTCAACCCCGCCACCCGTTTCGTGCGTCCACGTCCACGCACGCGATTTTCAGGCGTAGACACCGTGACACGCACCTAACCCAACATCCCCTTCGCATTTGTTCACCATTTTCTCTTAACCTCTTTAAATATTTAGAACGCGTCGTATTTTCTCTCGTACGTTCGCTTCCAAACCCTCCAAAAAAACCATCGAGTTCTCCCTCCACCTCCTCCCCCTTCCACTCCCCCGACAAAATTTCTCTTCTCGCGCGACACCGTCGAAAATCGTCCAAACTGGCTTATTTGTTACGATTGCCCGCAGTCGGTTTATGAAACGAACCTTTTCCCCCCCTCTTTGTTCGCCACAGTATTTTTTATTTCATCGGCTCGCTTCCTAAGATTAAGTCCACTAAGCGTTTCCCTACCGTTGATTAAATGCTCATTGCGACAAGAGAGCTCAACGTGGCTCCTCTCACTCTCTCTCTCTCTCTCTCTCTCTCTCTCTCTCTCTCTCGTAATCGTCGTCTTGCTATAGACGAAGGCGTGAGTGTTCTGTCCCCGGAGGGCGTGGCGGGGAGCTCGACCCCGCCCACCCCGACGATGGGCCCCGCCCAGTGACGCGCCTGGTTTTGATATCGGACGAACGATCTACTCGCTATTCGCGTTTCCACGCGTATATATTGCCCCAGCAGCCTGACGTTTCTCGTAGAAAAGCGTGAATAAATTGTTCGACGTTTAGTTTTAACCTTCTTGGAACTGAATTTTAGTCGCGGTTTTTCGGTCTAGTTTCGCAATGTCGATGATTTCCATTTCGATCGGTTTTCGGACAAATTGTAAATGTACAGTATCAAATATATATAACACAGACGGTCCAAAAAGGTTAAAAAACGACCGAGTAGACTGTTCGTGCGCTCTATAGTCGTCCGCGCGTCACGTTGACACCGTTTATACATTCTGCTTAGCGGCGGACGTCGCGTGGGCGGGGTCGATCGGCGAGTAGGGTCCGCCCACCCAGGACAGATCTTCCGAACTCGCGTCTATATCGCTCCGAGTGTTCGTATCGCGCACACTCCCCGGTTCGATCCTCCGCGCACCGTTCCGCAAAAATTCTCGTTGATCGTGGGTCATCCCCCCCTTTCGTCCGACCGACTTTCGCGTTTTCGTCCTTTCGCGTCGCTGCCTACCCTTCTCGAGCCGTCTCCAACTCGCTCTCCTCGAGGATCGTCTTGCAGGCCGCGTGTCTCGCCACCTTTTCCGCCTCCTTTCTTCGTTACCCTCGCCAGACCCGGCCCGGAGGGATTCTCCGCTCCTGACAGCTTTACGTGGCTCAACAACGACCGAGAAAAGGACCGCACTTTTCGTCTGAAGGAGTATCGCCACGCGGCAATTGCGCCGTTGCAACGTCGCCGCCCGTCAAACCTTTCCCCTCTGCTTTAACCCGCCCCCTCTAACTTGGCCGACTCCGCCACCCCGCTTTTCAGGCTCCGCCCCCTATGGTTCGTCTCTCGTTCCCATCGCTAGCTTTCGTACCCAGCGTCATCTTGTCCCGAGAAAAGGCTCTTCGGGCGCGACCAGGTTGTCGTTCCTCCGGATGGACGGGGCGTCGAAGGGTCTCGGGTCGAGGAGGACCCGGCGACCGCTTTATCCGTTGAAAAACCGACGAGTCGCGGCTCGCTCGCGACGATCCTCGAGTCTCGTATCGTTGGCTCATCTTTCTCTCTCTCTCCCTCTCTCTCTCTCTCTCTCTCGTCTCATTAACCTCGTCTTTGTATTGTAACTTTTGGTTCCTGAAAAGAAAAGCCCACCCTCGGTGACGGGCCCCCGTCGACGCCACGTCACGATCGTCCCGGTACGTTCTTTTTTTTTTTTTATATTTTTGTCGTTAAATAGTAATCATCTAAACAATGAAAGCGGCAAAACGTCTCGAGGAAAAAGGTGTCCCTGAGCGCGAGACGGAAGGGGACGACGACGACACGACGCTTCCTCGGGAGGGAGATAGAGAGAGAGAGAAAAAAAAAAAAAGAAACAAACGAAGTCGTCCGTACATTCGTCGTCCTCGTCCCTTTCACGCCCACAATTATTAGCCGCACCTGCACAGGACTGCGCGCGACACGTCCCGAGAGCTCCGTCGGTAAAAACGAGTTATCCGTTATCGACGATCGCGTGTCCTCCCGTTCGTTTTGTACGCTGTTCTTTGTTTCCAACCGTTCGTGAAGAAAATGGTCGCGCGTAAGAAAGGAGCCTCGTCGCGTTCTCGTGTCGCTAGAAAATAAAAAAAAAATAAAAAAATAATAGAAAATCGGGTGCGACGGAGCCTTGGCACGAGCGATGCGTGGGGCCCGTCCTGCGCAGGTATTCCGTAAAAAGAGGGACGCTCTTCTCAAAAAGTTGCATCATGTGAAATCGCATCAACTAAGTTCCTATGTTCCTTTAAATCCTTATTACAAGTACGGTAGTAATAGTAGTAGAAGTAGTAGCAGCAGTAGTAGTAATAGTAGTAGTAGTAGTAGTAGTATTAATAGTAGGTTTTTCTCATTTTTTTATTCGTTTTTATGATTTAAGCATTTTTTTATCTTTTAGTTTTCTGGTTCTGATAATCTAATAGACATCTAAAAATAACACCCATTTTTTTCATTATTATTTCATATTTGTATCTCCTTAGCTTTCTTTTTTTATTTTTATTTTAATTTATCGATCAAGTATTACTTAAAAGATTCCTTAAACGTTAGACTGAGGGCCGCGTGATACGCGCTGCCGTCTCGACGGGGGCCGCGGGACGCCGCGGGTGGAACCCGACGGGGGTCACGCGGAGGTCGGTTCGAATGGTGCACAAAACGGCGTGCCCCGTCGCGCGTCAGTTGATTCGAGGCTTCGGAACGAAAAGTGAGAAAGAAAGAAAAAAAAATGTACGAACGACGACTCCGACGACCTTGACACGCTGCCTCGCGGCCCCCTCGAGCCCAGAAATCAACGCAGCGTTGCATACCACTGTTGAATTACATCTTACATTTATTTCTAGCGGCTGGAGTAACAAGTTTTTTGTTATTTTTGTCATTCGTTTTTGTCAGCTCAATACTGCATCATTTCATATTGCTGCTGTTGTGATCTGTACCCGAACCGTCATACGCAATAAACCCTTCCACGCATGCACGCTTCATCCCCCTGTATACCTGGTTCCCCTCAATCTCTCTCTTTCACACGTGTCTTCCGGCTTCCTTGCATGCATCGGTGCATCGATCTTCCCCGTTACGCCCACCCCTCCTCCCCCCTTTCTCTATCGCCGACTCCTCGCCCTGCCACAAAATCCGTCGTTTAAATTTCCTCTTCGATTCACCAACCTTTACATCGTCCCCCCACCCCACCCTCCGTTTCAGCTTCCCGTATTATCCCTTTCGTGTTAATTTTAATATCACATTTTCGTGGGAACAGACTGGCCCGATATATCTTGAAACGGAACCTCGAATGTGCGGACGCGGATTAGTTTTTCGTTTTATTTTTTTTTCTCTGTTCAGAGGCGCTCGATACTTCGTCGATGGAGAATTTTGAATTTTGAATTTTGAATTTCGCGACGAAAAGTATTTTTTTTAACCAGGACGTTTGTTTCTTTAAGTAGCAATTTTGTTCGCTCGAATCGTTGGGCTGTCGTTAAATAGTCGAAGGGAAGAAGCCAAACAAAGATACGTTGGGGGTGGTTTGTGAAGATCCTCGAGCGCCCCGTCGTATCGCTTTGAAGAACATGGTTTTTTTTTTTTTTGTTTTTTTTTTTTATTCTCGTAATTGCGCTTCGGTATCGTCTGATTTCCATATATATACGTGTGTGTATATATACGTGTATGTGTTTGTGTTTTCCGTTCGTTTCGAGCCGGAAAGCCGCGCTGCAATACATCGGGCGAGTGTGTCCCTGTTAATATATAGAATACATACATCTTTATCTCGCTACAAGGTACTACGAACCCAGATCAAAAACGATAAATCCATCGTTTTATGAGATATACGGCACGTACAACGACTGGATGGCAACGACGAAACGAAACGAAAAGTTTTACGAGACAAAAATGAAAAAAATAAAGAAAAAAAAGAAAAAAAAGAAGAAAGAAATATAAAGAAAAAAGAAAAAAAAGAAGAAGAAGAAAAGGAATATAACTTACGAAGGTGCGTTCATCAACAATCTACACGTTCAAGAGACATTCATCGTTAATCACTTAATGAAACTTCTTATTTTGTAAAATGTTAATTATGTTTGCTCGTTATCCCTCCCGTTAACGACCTCTTTCTAAACAGGTCTCGTGTTTTTTCTTTTACTTTGTAAACGTTTGCGTGTAATTTATGTTATTATTATTTTATTTATTTTTTGTTTTTTTGTTCATTTTTTTTTTCTTCTTCTGTATGCGTGTGAAGTGTATATGTGTTTGTATGTTTTTTTTTTTGTAATTTTTTTTTGCCTTTTTTTGTAATTTTTGGTTTGCTTTGTGGTGGTTCCCTCGTTTAGCCCGTACGGTTTTTCTCTTTAGCTTCTTAATTTGTTTATCGTTCTACCCGTCAGACCCCCGCCCCCGAGATAAAATAAAAAAAAAAAAAAGAAGAAAAGACACCTCGTCGCTGGACGAATGATTCGCGAAAAGTCAACGGCGTAGTCTCTCGTGCGAAATGTCGCCCTCCTTCAAACTCCTTCTCACCCCCCCCCCCCCCTCCCCCCCTCCCCCCGACTCTGGATAACGAACGACAACCAACGCGTGTTCACGATACTCGTCGAAACGCGTAGAATTACTACGAACGGACACAAACCGCGACGATTCATCAATCTGGCGTGTCTTTCGCCGAGTGAACCGCCCCCCCTCTCCAGCTGCATCCAACGACGGGGATCGTCGATGGAGCCAGTCGATCGATAGAAACTCCAGATTGCCGCGCGACACGCAATTTAACACGATACAAAAGACGAAAACAAAAGACTTAAAAAAAGAAACGAAAAGAGATACCGTCATTTTGTATAAAAATAAATCGCGACGATCGCAAAAATTCCCGCGAAAAATTCGCGCGCTCGCACACCCCCGAAACGCATGGAATAAATAAAGCTCGAAGACCGTGGCGCCTCGAGAGACAGGCGTGGATCTTTTCGGTGCGTCGGTACGACCCGAATCCCACCATTTTATATTTGATGTGTCGGCCGCGGTAAATCTTCTGCAACAACCAATATGATTGCGTTTCACTATAGATAAGGTCAATTGTTGATACAACAACGACGTGCGGGAGTATCATTACGTTTAATATTAAAAAGTCGCGGCTTGCCTTGCTGAAAATATTTCATTCGGCTTGGTCGCTCTCTCGGTGGGATTTGGGGTCTATCCGTCGCCTTTCCCGTCTCCGTTTCGTTCTTGCCGCGTCGAAAGACCCGACCCCTGTCCACGGGCAACGCCCCCGCCGGTCGCCCCGTTGGCTGTCGTTCGCGCCTCACGTGACCGTCACGCCCCCTCCTCCCACGTCGAATTTAAACCGAACTTCTCCGTCGTCGATCGTTCAAATCTCTGCTCTCTTCTCGGAGATCATGCGTCATCGAAACACGTTCACCATCGGAAGCGTAACAGACACGATCCTCGCGATGTAAAACCGACGCTTTGCCTCCTCGTGTCCCTGGTACAGCGCGAAGCGCGAACGTTCGGTTCCGAGTGGCACCGTGAGGTAAAAGGGGCGTGTCTCGATACCGCCAGTCCACGCCTTCGTCGCGTTCGCCCACCAATGGATGACACCGTTCGTAAATCTGAGCGGTGGGCGTGACGAAAAGGACCCGCCTTCGTTCCAGAACCGAACACCCGCGCTTCGCTGTCACGCGTTAGGAATCGAACTCGACACCACCCGAACAGATCTCTTCGTAGCCATAGTGTGCGTCACGAGGGCGGAGCAAAAAGATTTCCGACCGATTGGGACCCGCACTCCAACCGAGGCCGCATCTTTTACGCTTCCGCCGGTACTTGTTATCGCGCACGCGCGCGCGCGCGTTCATCGAGGGTACCCTCTGCGAGAAAACACTTCAAACGTTCCCCCAAACACGGATTCAGGCTCGTCCAACCGTCGAAATCGTCCTATTCCGAAAAGGTAAACGCTTGTTTTAGTTTTCGTGTTTATTTTTTCTTACAAACTAACGCCGTTTAAACCGTTTGTTTTTTTTTCAAGAGATCACTCGTTACGTTTGGTAATCAGTCTATCTGGTCTGCGTAAACCTAGCCCGCGAACCTCTTCTCTCCCCGCCCGCTTTCCGTTCCCCGCTAATTCGATCCGAGAGCGTCACGGTCGTTCCCAGCGACGGTCCTGTTACACGGAGAGTCTCGGATCGTTCACGGACGATTGTCTTCTGACGTCATTTTGGTAACTTGAAACCGGCCGACGATCGTCTGGTTAAGGCTGGTGAAAATATCGCGAATTCGAAAATGTTCCTCGATACGAGACCCTCGATCGTTTCAGCGACGGACAGCTGGTGACCCTAACCCCGTTAGGTCAGGAGAGCAGAGCCCCACTCGAACCGCAAAGTGGAGACTCGGAGCCCCAACTAGACAGTTGATCACCGAGTCGCCAGCCATTGTGTAACAGGCGTTATTCCGGTCGTATCGGTAGCGGAAAAAGATCGATCGATTTCCCTCTCGGAGCTCTTTGGACCCTTGGTACACGACCTTATTTCCTTCCGAAACGTTATCTCGTACGACGTTCCCCCATAATTGGCTCTCTTTCCTCCGTCTGACTCCACCGTTACGCGCCAGAAACATTGTTCCCCGTTTTAACGCGCTGCGCCTCCCCTCTACCTCGCTCGCCGCCACGCCCCCTTCCCCCCGCCCACCCTGGACTGCGTACGCCGTTTTACGTCTCGTTCCCTCGACGCGAAGAAAGTGGCGTTGTTGCAAAAAAGAAACGCGATCTCACGTAACAACAACAGGTGGTACAGCCTCGAAACGCCCAACGAGGGACTTACAGAATTTGTACTCTTTGAATGTGTATTACAATGAAACGATGTTTTTTTTGTTTTTTTTTTTTCTTTTTCTTTACGTTACTTATACCATAAGATAATAAGAATTATTTTCTTCACCGCCGTTTCGCGGCGCACAGAGGGTTCTCTCTCTCTCTCTCTCTCTCTTTCTCTCTCTTAATTAACTTAACCGTTCAACGTATACGTGTGTTACTTTTTTTTTCTCTTTTCAACCCATTTTCTGTTCTGTCGTTTAGCGACGATCGTGTGTAACTGCGCGTCTCCGAAAAACGTATACGCAAGTGTCTCTCTCTCAGTGTGTGTGTGTGTGTGTGTGTGTCTGTGTGTTTGTGTGGTCTTACATTAGCCGTGTACCTTTTTTTTTTTTTGTCGATTTTGCTTCCGTCCCCTTGGCTCTCGGCGCGTAATGAAGTGGTTGCGTGTGTAATGTACGTGCGTGTACTACTCGCGTGTTCATCGTGTATTTTTTTTTTTCTCAGCTCGGTTAATTAAAACCGCAGGGCTCCCGAAGAAATCCGTCGCGGCGAGCTCGTTCGCAATTAACCGCCTTTGTTTCCTTCCTTCACAGGGCGAACGATCCCTTCGGGGTTTTACCCTCGTCCCTGATTTTGCCAATTCGATACGCGCGGCAAACGTTTGTCCGGATCGACTGGTTCTCCGATCTCTCTGCTGGGTACAGACGGGACCGCGAGCGTCTCGACCCCGGGAGGCGTGGCGCGAGAGGAACGCCCATCGCTCCGCCCGCCGCGGCGGTGGCACCGCCCCCAACGATTCGATTCGATGAAAGATCGTACTGTTCACAGATCTGGTTCGGTCGCGTGTCACCCGGGACAGATCTTTCGCGGTCCCGTCTGTACATCAGTTCCCAGTTCTCCTCGCAACCGAAGATTTTTTTTCTTTTTACCATTTTTTTTTCTTTTTTCTTCTTATTTCGCGCCCGCGTTCGCGAGCAGGTTGCTTCTCGAAACAGCCCGCGAAACGTCGAACGACGATAACACGCGAAACCAAAATGAGTAAAAACGTTGCTTTAATTTGTCATCGCGCGCTTTCCTCTTCGCGAACGACGACGATCGTGCTTCCGTCTTTGACAAAGTCGACGTCGCGCGGCGTTTCAACGAAATATATACCAATGAAAAGACGATCGCAAAAGTAAAAAGAAAAAAAGGAAAAAAAATAATACGTCCGCTCCGCCGGACGAGCGGGGGAAAAACGAGGCGGAGCGGGACGACAAAGCTTCCGTTCTCCCTCGATCGAGCACGTTAGTTCCCGTTTTCGAGCAACCAAAATTTGGTGGGGGAGGGGTTCCGGGAATTCGCTCGAAAGCGGGCCAACAGCGATTCGTATCCCGGAGACGAGGCCAATGAGTCGACGCGGGTTACGCGCTGAACGCGAATGCCAAACACGGTCGCGTGGTGGGGGGTGGGGGGCGATCCCGTAACTTGTAACCGGGGTAAAAATTCGATCTCGAAACCGGGAACTACGGTTAACGGGAGGGGGAATCCCGCGACGATCGTCGAGGAAGCAACGAAGCCCGCGATTTCACACCACCGGAACCGGTCCTTGGGGCCAAACCCGCCACGTGTCTCGTCATCGATCGGTCGCAGACGGGTACACCCGCGTTTCGTTCTGGCCGTCTCCGATCGATCCCTGACGTTTCTTCGGTCGTATCTGAGAGAAAGAAACGCTCGGAATCCGACACCTTTAATCCCCACGTCTTATTTACTCGCATTCGCCGTGCCCCAAGGCTTCCAATAAATTTGGTCTCCCTTTAAAAATATGTACAATACTCGTCGGCACTCGACAATTTACACGCCGTATTCTCCCATCGCTCTGGCTTCGCCGCTGCACTCTCGCGCCTCCTGCCCCGACACGCTTTCCCTTCCCGCCACGTCGCTAGTGTCTTCTTCTTCTCCTTCGCTGTCCTCCTGGCACTGGTCGGTTTCTATATCTCTCCGTCGTTCGCGGTGCGTTGTTCAGTCCTCCCCGCGTTCTCTCCACAGAATGTTCCCCAAAATGGTGACCCTCTGGACAGAGATGGGTGTCGATTTTGGCACGCTACGACGGGTTTTTCTTCCTTCTCTTCCCTTTCTTGTTCCTTGTTCCCCGTCTCCCGTTTCTTCCGCAGTCCAAGCCCTCGCGTCGGTACCTTTCCTTCTCGTGTTCTGTTCCCTCCGCTTCTTCGTCGTCTTCCGCCCCCTCAAGTGCTCTCCCTCCGCTTTCTTCCGCCGCCACCGCGCCATCTCTTTGTCTGCAAACAGCCCGGAGGCACGGACGTGAGAATTTATTTGTCGAGGATCTGTTGTTTTTTTTACTCCCTTTTCCCGCGCGGCCCGTTCATCCCCGCGGTTCGCGAGAAAAGGAAGATTTACATCCCACGCCCCGTAAATGTGTCCGTAAATATGCGCCGCTTACGAGCCACCGTATACCGATTTTAACGAACTTTTCCAGATTTTTACCCGGCGGGAATCTATGTTTTATGGAATATCGAAACCGGCGTGACCGTCATTTTTGGTCCGGCCTGTATAATGCTATGAATATATGAATACATAGTGCCATAAATATCACGCGGAAGTATGCAGATTATTTTCAACTTAATAATCGTTTGCCCGTGTCTGAATTGCGTTTTCTTTCGAAAATATATCATGCATTTTATTAACTTTGTAGCGCTGTTCTAGTCTCCGATACCACTTTTTGAATGTTCCAAAATTCTTATTACTCCACAAAATATACGACGAAGTTAAAACTTACAGTGAAACGAACAGCAGCTCGAACGTTTTTCAAACATGCCACGAGAAAATTAAAAAATAGTCTTTTGTACGGAGAAGACGCGCATTTATAAGGTTCCGTCACACGTGTTCGCAAAATGGCTGCCATTCAGCAGGTGCCGTTAAAGATGCCCTTTCAACTCGAGCTTTTTAACGCTATTAAATTCAGAACGTGACTTTAATACATCGTCGGCGTAAAGAAAAAAAAGAAGAAACGTTTCGACGACCAGCGGCCATTGTTGGAGTCGCATTCAGAATGTAATTGGTGCTAAAAACACCGGTTGAAAGGCCGTCTCGAGTCCTCGACAACGTATTCTGAATACAGGCTAATGTCCTCGACGGGGGGACAGGGGTACAAAAAAATGTGAAACTCGCAATTTTTATCAAACGTGGCCCGTCCACAAGAAGCGGGATTGCGTCGTCGAAAACGTCACGCATTCAGGCGCGAAAATACTGAAAAGTAATTTCAGACTCGGACAAAGGATTAAAAATGGCCGTTACGGATCCGTGTCTTTTGTGTTTTTCGGCCCCCCCTTTTCACAAAATTCCCTCGCGATTCTTTAATTAAAATTGCACGCTTTTGATCCTCGTATCGGTAACTGAAATGTACAGATCGATCAATAATCCGGGTATTCGAATAAATTATTTTTTTGAACTTCGAAATAAAATTTCAATGAGTGTAATTGTTTCAGATAAGACGTCTGCATATTGAATTAATGTTTTGTTTTAAAGTAAAATTTTAACAATTGTTTCAGATAAGATACGTGTATGTATTATATGCAGAGAATAAAATGGTCGTGCGTGGTTGTCGAATCGAAAAACGAAACGAAAGGAATCTTGTTTGCGATGTATACTCGCTCACCTAAAGGTTGTCCATCATTTCGGAAAGGGTCAGCCTGGAGGTGGACATAGCGACGCCACTGTCGCTGCTGCTCTGCACGCTGCTGTGATCATCGGTGTCCGACTGGTTGCTCGTATAACCGATCACGTCTACTTCATCTGCAACGAAACAAAGGTAAATCAAGTTAATTTTACAGTCTTCACATTAAAAAATATTTCAATACAACAGTTTGCAAATTTAAATCCTAGTCTGTCACGTAAATATAATTCCACACTGTGGAAGATAGGCAGAGGTACAAAATAAAGGTATCTAAAATTCGACCATTATTAAAATAGTGTTTGAAAAATTTTAAAAAATGGTCAGAGTATTATTTTAATTGCTAAAATCTAGAACAGTATATTTTTCCAAATTTCAAAAGAAATTTGCAAAAAAACAAATGTTCTCGAAATTCCTGCCGCGAAACCTTGCATCAGGACGTATTTAACGGGGTAACGGGGTGAAACGCGAAAACGGGGCCGACGAAATGATAAATAATCGTGCCCGTGTACAATACGATCGAATAATTCCTGTCATACGGTAATACTGTCCGCGGGGTATTTCGTTGGATAATTTAAAAAACGCAGGTGCACAGGATGCGCGTAGTAAATTGTAGACGCGATCGGACAGCTGCGGCTCGTAAATATCAGCCGCGAGCGGGGGAGTGGGGGGTAACAATCCCCGGATTCGAAAACGTTCGCGGACTCCGTACGAATCGATATCGGCCGCGTAGGCGCCTTTCAAACGGTTACACACGTGTACCGTAGGCAGGTTTTCCTGCGCCGTGTCGCGTGTCCAATAATCCCGCTCAAAATGCCAGCCAATTTTCGTATTTTACCATTTCGGGCGAAAGAGCTCGACGGAAATGCGACGCGTGTCCAGCCCGGGGCGCTTCCTATTCGTCGATCCTGGCGATCCCCTCCCACCCAACGTGTCTCATCCCCCTCGGCCGTCGATATAATTGACGAAAAATACGGTGTCCCGGAGCCGTTTGATAATTTTCTTGGACGTCGAGCGTGTGCTGGGGTTCGTTGCGTCGGACACACTTAGCGCGGGAGTTTAATTAAACTGACACGGAAACGGGAGGGACGCCGTTCGAAACGTGTACAGCTTGTTTTCGCGCGACGATGGCTGAAAGTTTGCAACGGGAAACGAGAAGGTCCGTGGCTGCACGGGCGCTCGAAACTTGGAACGTAGTTTGAAGGTGTTAGGGAGGGTTTACGATATCGTGGAACGAGGCGAAAAGAATTTTTGAAACTTCTATAACGAGGAGCGAAAAAGAACGCGCGCCAAGTATCTAGATAGGACAGCATCGTGGAACGAACACTGTTATATATTTCCTTGTATCTTTACGAAAATGTTATTAATAGATCAGCGAGGATCTCCCGAGAAAAATGAGTCCAAACACGACCATATTCGGACTACTTTCGATTTTACGAAATTGAACATTTTCAAAATCGATTCGAATAATGTGTACATTAAAAGTGGTTCGAATATGGTCGTGTTTGGACTCATTTTCACCGGAAGAGCTTGGTCAATTCATTGGTGATACTCTGACAAAGGTGCACCACCAAATTTTGTAATATCTCAGTGAAAATATTATCGATAGATTACTGGTGTTCTCCCGATGAAAATGAGTCCAAACACGACCATGGTCGGACTACTTTGAACTACACGTTATTCGAATCGATTTTTAAAAATGTTCACTTTCGTAAAATCGAAAGTAGTCCGAATATGGTCGTGTTTGGACTCATTTTCATCGGGAGAACCTCAGCAAACCATCGGTAATGCTCAGCGTCGAGTAGCTCTAAGTTCTAAACTTTTTTAATTTCCGGGTTGAACAACCTTGTCAGGTCAAACTGTCCATCTTTTAATCAACCTAATCTCGCCTAATACGCTCCAAGTAACAGCGACGTCGCCTCGCCAACCGTCTCGAGGTCAAATAAGAAAATCATTGCTTCGGAGGAGAGGAAAAATTGTCCAGTAATTTTGTTATGGCGCATCTCCTTGACCTGCAGCAATTTTCCTTCCGTCGTTTCGTAAACGGGAGCACGTTCAGGAGTTTTATGAATCGTAAGTCGCTACGACGCGAGCAGCATCGCGTCAAAGTCACGTTAAACTAGTTTCGCGTAGATCGGGCGACCTTCGACCTTTCCCGTCGAATATCCCCGCCGGCCCCGAGGCATATATATCAAATTGTTTGCTGTTCTCGAATTCTACGGAGTGGTGTGCACCTGGCGGAGTTTTTTATCGGCCGCGTTCTTTCCCGGGGCACCCTCTTGGCACACACGAAAATCGTCCCCCGGGGATATTGAGGATCGGTGCACCGAGAGAGAATATCTCCGCCTTTCGACAAACCCAGCCATAGTAAACCACCGACGACTTTCACCTTCGGAAAATACGGCGCGTAGAAATTTTACCAGAACGCGATTTACAACCCACGATTTATGTACCTCGAATCGGTTAAAAATTTAGATTTTAATAAACTGTACACTCTGTAAACAAGGTGGGTCAATTGTTAAGCATTCTAAAGTTATTCTGCTCTCGACGTTCTTTGTTGTTATAGTTTGTTCGATACAAACGTCTTACTTTTTTATTCCACCCTCGAACAGAAATCGTTGCGGTCACGCTAAAGATCCATTAAAATCTAGCGATTTAAAAATAAGGCCATTCTAAGGTCACGCCACTGGAATAACCATGGACAAATTTAAATTTAACTCAATACTTTATAACTTTGAATTAACTTTGGTTCGTTTGGGCGAGACACTGGTGTACACGGCGCTCGTGGCTGGAGGGCGAAAAATGATTCAAGTATTAATAGTAGTACAGAAATTGCTCGCGAGATACGCGAAGTTTAAGGCGAAGTCGTCGGGGGGTAAAACGCGGCGCTACGGTGATCGCGCCCGCGGCGATTCTCGATCACCGACGCGGGCGCAAAAATAGTCGATATTGAACTTGGCGATCAGTGTCACGTTGAAAACGGTCCTTAAGGCGATCTGCGTCACCGTCGAACACCGGGCGCCTGTAAAGTGTAACCAGCGTCGACACCCACGCATCTGCGCGCGCACACGAGCCGCGGATACGGTGGCGAGAGGGTGGAGTGGCGAGAGGCAGAGTACACTCGTACCGAGCCGAAGAAAAAGACGTAGGGCGACGCGGGGGGTGAGGGGCGTGCCGTGTAAATGTACCAGAAACAGCGACGGGGTGAAGAGGGGAGTGGCGGCGGAACGGGGAGAACTAAAAGGGAGGAAAATCTAAAGAGCGAGACGGTGAAAAATTAAAAGAGAAGAACACGCGGCCCGGTAGTGCAGCGAGCAGGGCGAACGGCACGAAATGTAAAAATTAGAGAAGAGGTATCGGGACAACGGCGCGGCCAGAAAGAGAAATGAACTGTGCGAGAGCTCCGTGCGACGGGGACAACAGAATGCGATAGGACGTAACGGGAAAAGGGCTCGCGGAGAAAGAAGAGACGCAGAAAAACACAAGGGGAAGGAAACAGCGGCCCGGGACGCGAGAGGGGCGACGAGGGAGAGAGAAAAAAAAAACCGTTCGCAGCGGGGATGTACCTATGCAGAGCCTCGCGCACGTTTAGTCGGTAAATATAGCCACGGAGGCACACCCGAGAGGTTTGTTAGGCGATATCCTTGTACGAGCCCGCCCGAATGCGTTTCCCCCCCGTTGAAAACCAGACGAAGAATTTTTAATCCGAAAAACGACGCGATTCTTTCGCGAGATATATGTATTCTTTAACCTCTTAGGCACGATGCGCCATCTATGGTGACTTTCGTGGATGTCAACGGCGTACCATAGTGGCTCATTCTAGTGGCTCACTCGCTCACCGTTTGTATCAAATGATCGTTACGAAATTGTATCGTATGTTCAAAGAACATATCATAATTGTATTATTAATTGTTGAAGTAAATTGTTAAAATTTGTGTGTCATATCTTTAAGAAAAATTATAATTTAATCATCGAAAACTCGAGAACACCATTTTCTGTATTGTTCACGTGTCATTCGTGTCGAACTCTGCCGTACACAGAAACAGTCTCGCCGCGCCTAAGATGTTAACCCTTCCCTGAATCGGTCTCGATTCGTCCTCGAACCGTCGCCACTTTCTTCAGTGTTTACGACCTCGCACCAAGTACACGTCCTCCGTCGCGTCGTCCCAGCAGGGCACGCGTATAAATTATCGAAAAGATTTTATCATCGTCCCCGTGGCTCGCGGCTGCCGGTGAAATAAGAGTGTATCTCGCTAGGCTGTTTCGCCTCCTTAGCGTAACGTATGGCCGGGGGAGCGCAGCGCCACCGGTAAGAAGCGTTTCACCGTGGAAACAACCACGTTGCGTCTCCTCCTCGCGCGCGCTGTGAAGGAGACCGGTGTCTAACGTCTCCGCGCCGTTAGGTCCCGCGGGAGCGACACACGAACCACCACCGATCATCTTTTGCACGGTGTAGTTTGTCAGTTACCTACGGGCAACGGGGAAAATTTGTCGCCGCCGCGGGATATACGCGGCTACACGAGTTCGCGCGACTGGCTATACGACCACTTAAGTTTACGGGCACCTAAGTCGGACCACCAGACGGTCTGGAATACCCTGGCCGGAGTTCCAGGGGGTCCACGATCCTCGATTCGACCGCTAGGAGGCCGTGGATCTATACACGGACCGCTAACGTTTCTAGAGATCGTAATTGAATCACTAGGATATCATAGATTACAACCTTGGTGGGCGAGGATCTTATATCGATATGGCTCTAGGAACCAGAGAGATAATTGCCTCCTTACAGCGTTACTTATCCATAGATGGAGCTTTAATCTACCCTCGAGAATTCAAACCTAACCCCCACCGATTTTAATGAAATTTGGCACACTGATAGATCTGTGTCTGGAATAAGCATAACCAAAATTTTAACCGCAGAAAATTGACCGATCTTGAGAAAAATAGAAATACAAATTTGAGAAAATCCCTTGGATATATTCCATGACTTAAAATTGTTGAATTAATTCCGTTCGTGTTCTCGTGCCGTGGATAAAACGGATTCCCAGAAACATCAACACGATTTATTGTACATTGAACTTAGTCGTTCGCGCGACTGTACGAGGCGCGTAGCCCCGGTTTTTAG